AAAACTATGATATTCTTAAGTCTTTTTTCTTTGGTGTATAAGCACCTGAAAATAGGAATGTACTTTATAAAAACATATCCCCTAATCTACCTCTGATAGGCTTATCCTGGCATTATCTTAACCTCTTCATTTGAAAGACTTTATATGCTTCACCAATTCAAGATTTATAATTTAGCTGCATGGTTGGGTTGAGTGGTTATCAGTTCGGTCCAATCTGGCTTCACAAGTATAGATACCACTTAATGCAACACAAGGGTCCTTATAGATAAAACTGACACTTATCAATGTATGGAATTGGATTCTGAAGAAAAATCTCTTTAAAAAAATGTCAAGACTCTAAAAGATTAATATAGCACAAAATTGTCCTTTCGGATTTGACCTTTTATCATGCGTGTTTGCCCTTTTTATTGCTCTCATTACTCCTCATGGATTGTGTTTAGCTGGAGAGGTATCTTGATAATCACACGAAATAAATGTCATCCTGCCTTACATCTTGTTTGCTATCTGATTTCTAGTAAAGTAGGGTGTTATTTTGTTGGTTTGTCCTAGAAGACAGAGCAGACTTTTTCATCTCAATCAAAGGCATTTGTTACATAAGAATTTATATTTCTTTAACGAGATTTATAGCAACTTATACAGCGTTGTCAACCCCAGTCAGGCATGTAACAATTTTCCTGCCACCATTATTTATGCGTGTAGACAGTGAATTAGTAAAGAATGTAGGCGAATGTGTTCCCAGGCTTTAGCTGACCTACTAAACTTAGATTTGTCCAATAGTCTTATATAGAAATAGTGAAACAGCAGAGTAAATGCACTCTGTTCAAAATGACTCATACATATGAACATATATATTCCAGTGTCTGCTTTTTTAAAATACTCCTAAAGAGGTGAGGCTTTATAAGATGTTTGTGGTGGATGTCTCTTAAGGATGCTTTTTCTCGGTGCATTGACGTCATGTTTTCTAGCCAACAAAGAGAAGTGTACATAAAGCTTCAGATAAGTTTCCCCATGGACGCCTGTCTATACTTTTATAAATCCAGCTACATGTCCAAGAGTTTGCACAAGCCCAAAGTCAAACAAGTTCAATGTGACTCAGAAGTACTTGTTACTTCTTAAGAATATATGAGTCCAGTACAGATTGCACTTCAGGTTTTTTTTATGCATTTTCCTCTGGCCTTGGATGTAAAAGTTCTTCCACTTGAGGAGCAGATGAATAGTCCCAGTCCAAGTGTCTTTCAGTCTGTCACAGTGTTGTTATTTGTGCTTTTTTTTTCCGAGGCTGTAGCTGTCTGTTTTGTTGGTGAGCTTTGCTTAAATTGACTATTCTGCATTGTTGATGTGCTGGAGGCTTGTTTGTGATTATTGTGTGTTGGTAATGCTTTTTCTAATACCATCCCTCTTTCTATTTGTGACTAAGGCAGATGCAAGGTAATGAAAGTTGTTGTTACGAGTCAAAATGTACTTAAGTGGTCATAAAGAGTGCAAAGATTTTAAATTGTATTGAAATTAAAAATGTACAAGATTAAAAATTAATATAACGAAAAAGAAAAATGATGCAATAATCATCAATCATGATGTCATGACTATTACAACATCATCTGTTTTTATTCCTTTGGTGACTTCATTCAGAGTTAATTTTCACTCTAACATAAGTGGAAATCTCAAAGATATTTTAATCAATCGTTACCGAGTTTTGTACAAAATAACCTTGTTGTAAAATGAAAAACAGACTCTCTATCTTTTCATGTATGACATATGACCCATTGACATAAAGAGGTCATGATAATTGACATTATTTTGGAAGAACAATCATTTTTAAATCAGCTCAGTCTTTGAAAATCAGATGGAAATGTACTCTGCAACAGCCCGAGATGAATTAACAGCAAGATAAACGTACACACTGCATTGTATTAGTCGGACTCACTAATAATTTGCACCGTTCATCTTCAAAAAAACATTACAGTGTTCTACATGTTTATTGAGGCTACATATGGAATCAAATTCAGGGGGGAAAAACCTAAAAAGGGACAAAAAGTTATTATGAAAAAGAAAATTGTTTATAAAAGAAATGGACAAAGACATAAAGACATAAAGGTTTTCTGGAAGTAATGTCCATATTCTTACTTAATGATTTGTTTTTTGCTGCACTTCTGTTCCCTTAGACCAATCTCGCAGGGCAAGTTTTGCCTCTGTAAGGCAGTCAAGCATGGAAACTCCTCCGAATGCCACCCCTCAGCCCTTCAGACAGCCGGTGAGTACAGTGCTGTTCTTCATTGTCTTCATTTTCAGAACTATAGGAGGAGTGTTTTTAATTCTTTATAATTTCATGAATTGTATTCTCCTTTTTCTTTTATGTCCTTGTTGAATCTTCAGAGTTTTCTCAATCGGAGGCTGAAGGGCTCCATCAAGAGGGCCAAAAGTCAGCCCAAACTGGACCGGACCAGCAGCTTCAGACAAATGATTCTGCCCCGGTTTCGTAGTGCCGACCAAGAGCGGTAAGGAACCTTTACCGTAGTAACATTCATTCAGTTTCAAGGCAAAGCCGAGGTAATTCTGATTCAGTGTCACATTGGGGTTGGAACCTGTCCCGGGATTTGTTGGGCAAAAGCCAGGAATCCCTGTGAACAGGATTCCCAGTTTATCACAGTTCTAACAGATATATGCCTATGTTCAAATTTTACCTCATGTAGTGCCAATTTCCGGAAAAGGTGTTTCAAATGTCAGAGCGTCGGAACCACCATGTTGCTCAATTCTGATGCGTGTCCACAAATAAATCATTACTCCAGGATCTGTTGACTTCATTCTCCGTTTATTTCACTCAAGACTTTCCATTATTTCCGTGATAACATCCAAACTGAATATCCCCAAATCTGAACTATAAACACGATCAAAAATATTTTCCCCCAAAAATGTACAAATAAATGAATAAAGATAATAATCAATACAAGTTTCTTATTTTATTCATTTAATGAAATGGACCATGATTAGAATGGCTTCTACACCTGATATACTGTACATGGTATGATAGGTTTGAAAGCCTGTGGTTCCATTTATCCTTTTAAAAAATACGTTTTAATATTTATTTAGTTTGTTCTTATAATATTCCCATTAAAATTCCCAAATTGTCTGAGAGCATTAGGTTCAAAGGTGTCTGTTATCAGTGGACAGAAAACATGCTGATTGCATGTATGTTACAGTTTGTGCTCATGCATAAGTGATGTGATTAGACAAAACAAAACCTCAAACGGGTTACATCATGGATTCGTTGTTCCTTTAGATAATGATCTTAGACTGTGGGAGGAAGCTGGAGCACCCGGCGGAAACCCACACAATCCCACGGAGAATATTCAAACTCCTTACTGGCAGAATCAGAGAGCAATTACAACTTTGATATTATTATTATTATTATTATTATTATTTAAACAAAAGAAGAAGAAGATATACTTTAATCCCAAGAGGGGAAATTCAATTATCCACTTTGTTATTGAACATGTTACACACACAAAGGTTGAAATACATTGCAGTGCTCAGGAAGTGAACTAGTGAGCTACTAGTTCCATTTCCAGACTTTGTCCACATCGGGACTTGAACCCAAGGCCCGATGTGGACTGAGGTACTGCTGCCCAAAGTTGTGTAACAATCACTTACACAATTTTAAGCTTTGCACTCTTTTCAATCTCCAATAATCAAATCTTGACTTGTAGAATTGTTGATACGCTGCTTTCTGGTCTGGATGTGGTTTCACACGAGGAACCCAGGCCCGGATCCAAGTACGCTTATAAGTCCGGTTCATTTGATTAGTGTGAACACAGACGTACAATTCTTGTACAGTACACGGGTACTGTGCCCGATGTGATGTGAACGCAACTGTGCTCTAACAAGGAAGTGGATCGCTATATGACGACGGCTTTCTTATGTACACAGTAGGGGGCAGTAGGCACATAGTTGGTTTGCAAATCCGCCAAAAAAGCAGAATGAAGAAGAAGCAACCATGGCAACCGGCTGCAGATGTTTTTGTTATTTATGAGATGCCAACAACGACCCTCTTCCTACCTCCACATCTACCGTGCAGCTCAGAGGATTTATGAAGTCTGTGCTGTACTCGGGCACAGAACGATGTTACTAACGTGAACGCAGACCAGCACACTGTACAAAACGCCCTCAGTAGTCTTACCTTCTTAAAAAATCTCTCTTTTGCTGTTGAAAGCTTCCTTTTATAGCCTGAGCCAGAACAATGCTAACTTCAACACACAGCTTTTAAGGTTGCTTCTTGTTGTGGGACAGGCTCATTGTGTACTGTAATTATAGTGTACAGTATAACCAGCCTCCCAATGCTGACACTAACAGCTCTAAAGTGTTCTCGTCCTGGCTGTTTTTTTGGTTGATAAAGCCTTACGTGATCTTGTTTGACTAGAAGCTCATGTTTGGTAATATTGGCTTCAAATCTCATTCAGTAATTTATTTTTCATGTTTCCCGTGAGGTCATCTTGTGATGGTTTCTTTAAAGTTTCAGTAAACAGATAACAGAACTGAAGAAGCAAAGTAAAGTGAATACATAGCTGTAGAGAGCTAGAGAAGATAAACAACCCTGTTTCCAAATCAGCTGGGGAGCTGTGTAAAATGTAAAAAGGAATTGATTCTGTTGATTTACAAAACATCGAAACCCCAGATTTAATTGGAATAGAAAAAAGATGAGCAAACACACAAACATTACTTATATAGGTGCTTAAATCACTGGATATGAGGCACAGTGACTCACAACAGTATGGCTAGAGTGTTGCAATAGCACGAAGACGTGACACTGACACTGAAACTGAGAAATGGTATTGTATTTTGGGAATGTTTAAGTCAATTTAAAATTTGAAGCCAGCAACACGTTCGGAATAAGTTGGGACAGTGGTAACATCAAAGAACTAGAAAGGTTGTGAAACGCTTCAGAAACACCTGATGGAACATCTCACAGTTAATAAGGTTAACTGGCAGCAGGTTGGTGATATATTTGGTATAAAAAGAACATCCGAGGATGGTTGAGTCATTCTGAAGTAAAGATAGGTGGGGGAGGGGTTAAGCACTCTCTGAATGACTATCTATTGTAACAATTTGCAACAATTTAAGGAGATATATATATATATATATATATATATATATATATATATATATATATATATATAGAGATATTTTTTTTTTTAACATAGAATTGGAAAGAGTCTGGGGATTTCAATGTTTTTGAAAACATCACTATCTGTTTCCGGTTAGCTAGCCAGTCAGCACAATTTACACAATGTTGGATAAGTGTTTGTACTAGTCCCTAAGCTATCAAAGCATTATTTTCTGAAGATTTTATTTTCTCAAAAGAATAGCCCAAGAGCTACTTTTTGGCTGAAACACAAACAGGATTAATCTAAATCTGGCCTGTACTGTGGCTTCTTATTAACCACTGTGATGAAAGCAAAGCCTCCCAGAATAAAGGACGTTGCCCTTATTTAGACATTCAGAGCTTTCAGCCAGTGACTAAACATATTAATTTTATTGATATTAAAAGCAGCACTGCTCCCATTGAAGCTGTCACACATTACAAGTGAACTCGAAAGGAGAGGCCAAGTGAAGGCTAAAGGTGGAGGCATATTAAACTGTATAATTACATAGCTGAAAGCAGTAGCACCTGTATGCTGACATAAACACATACAACTATTTGAATAAATAACGCTTTCGTTTTTAATTTAGTTTTCATTTTATTTTATTTGTAGCACCTTGGGCATGTCGGACATTCATTACCGCTGTCACCATACAACCCTCAAGCAGACTGCCACCATTTTTATTTTAAATCATTCTGAACTTCATCCTACAAGGCTTAGTACCTTGTCAGTTTAAAAACTGTTGTTTGGAGTCAATGTCATAGTTTAACTTTTCATTAGTTCACTAAGGGATTTTTTTTTAAATACATTTTATTTTGGTAAAATATTTTATTTTCAAAGATCTGTTTAATGTTATAGTAGCTTGAAGGTCTCGAGGCTCTTGTGAGAGTGTTTTCTTGTTTGGTATTCTGACTCGAGGTCACATCCCATAAGATCCCTGCTTGCATTCTGATCAAAATTTTATGCAGTCTTCACATAATCCAGACACGATTCTCCTATGGGAAACGTAAAGAGTGGCAGAAAGTAAAACAGTAATGCTGACGGTACACTTTCCTCTCACCACAGGAGATGCATAATAGACATTTTTAAGCAAGGTGTGGATGTCCGAGACTCAGAGACGAACAATTTAGTACGGCATGTTTAGAATCCTTTGTTCTAAAATGCATGGTGAGCCAAAGCAGAAGCCCAGTTCAAACGTTTAAATGAATTATATATAAACCCAAATGGGTTCAGTAGAGCCAGCGCTGATGGAGGCAGTGGGGGTAGCTTAATGGTGTCGGGGTTAAAGAGACTTATGCCTCAGTCAGTGTGTTCCCCCCTTACCACATCTCCAGCTCCCACCGCTGCCTCAGACAGCTGCCTTCACAGCCTGCTTTGAGTTCTGCCCACACACACGCTTAATTCACTCGGTACTGTTAAGTTGACTTTGCTATAAACCCTCCACGTCCAACCTCACACTCTAGCGTTCCAACGCAGCTGCTCTACCTCTTCTGCCAAGTCGGTGTACCAACGCATTTTCTATGTACTGTTAGCTCCTCAAAGTAGACACATCTCTGCACCTCTCAACAACATTAAATCTGCCCTTAAATTAGTGCTCCTCATTTGCTGCATAATTATTATCAGGTGTTTTCTTCAAAGCTGCAGCTTTTTCTCTTCTCTTCATTTTCTCTCTTTCATGTTTAAAGCCAACAATGTGCAGCTTGCTAGCTAGCTTTTCAGTGGAGATGATATCCACATTTATAATTACTTCTTCAACAAATCTTAGTTTCAGAAATGTCTAAATAAACTTTATTTCAATTACGCATTTTTTTTTTACAAGATGTCAGATAAGAAGAATTATACCACTTTCTAATTTGTTCTTATAGCCAGAGCCAGCAGCTTACTAGCTAACTCAACATGAAGGTTGGAAAGGGGCAAAACAGCTAGCTTGATTCTGTACTTGAACAAGGGCAATATGCCTTCCATGCTTCTACAACTCAAGTTTTGTGGCATATAACATATAATTCCTTTGAAAATCTTACAGAACATGTTGATTCTGGTAATCTAAAGGTTGTGGTAGGGGTATTGTCTTTGAAAAGTGCCAGACTTGCTTTTTCTCCTTGTTTTACATTTTGTACGTTAAGCTGATACTGCTGATAGTTGGAGCTTTAATTTAATTAACAAAAAATAGTGATATTGATTTTCCTGTATTATTTGCAGAAAGAAAGCTAACTTATAAGCTAAATTTTGGAAAATGTACTAATGATTTAACTATGATGCATGCTAGCTACAGCTTTCAGTGCAGATAACCTCAACATTTTAAGTTCTTTATGTTTCAAAAACAGTTACAGACTATTATAAAGAAAACATTCAACTTTCTGGGGGATTATTACAATTCCAGCTCATAAAGTCTAAAGAAAATACAAACTTTTTATAAGCTTTAAACTGTATGCTTGGTCAACATTGGAGAGCGCCTTGCTGGCTTGTTCCCCCTTGTTTCAACTATTTTAGCTTAGTATAGCCAAACATCTGCCTGTTTTAGCTTTATATTTGATGGACAACTGAGGGTGTCATTATGATCTCTTCAATGTTTTAGCAGGATAGTGTATTTCAAGAAGTTATTTCAAAAATATTTTCATAAATATGAATAGGGAAATTTGACAGAACAAACCTAGCTCTGTCTTTTTACTCTTTATGTTTAACTAAGCTAAATAACTGCTGGTTATAGCTTTGTATGTGGCAAACAAAAATGTGAAATAAAAAACAAAAATGTCTAAGTGTATTTTGAGTGTAAAATAAAAATATGGAAACATAACCAGACATAGCTGCCTTTACTCTCAGCCTTTATGCTAAGCTATCTAATCAACTGCTGTCCAAAGCTCAATACTTTATTCTAGTAAATAAAATGGGAACAATCTTCTCATGTGACTCTGGAAAAAAAGGGATATCCTGCTACATTTTCTTTCAATTGGCTACTTTACTGACTGACCGTACTCCATTAAGAAGGATTTCTCTCATATTTTTGTTTCTATTTCCACCACAACCTTTTCTTGACAGAGCAGCCCTCTTCTAAAGATTATAACTGCACAACAGTTTTAATTTATTTTTGGAGACTAGCCTCACTGAACTGCACGTCTTGGTTTGTATTTCTCTACTATCACACAGTAGGCATTACTGTAGGCTTTTTCCTACCGTGCAGTGTGATTCACATGTGTCGAGTCAACATACCAAGCTGCAACGCACCAGATCTGAAAATCTGGTAGTCTTATCTTTCACATAAACTCATTATAAAAGGATCAGAGCTAAAAATCAGCCAAAAATTGCAGCAGTGATGCACAAGGATTACTGAGCTGCAGTGATTCATTTTTTGGTTATATGGAAACCTTATTTAAAAAAAAAAAAACCCAACAACTAATAAAATCACTATCAGTCCAATGATTATCTAAAGTTTTTTTCTTTTCCCTCTTTCACCAGGACACGACTGATGCAGAGCTTCAAAGAGTCACACTCCCATGAATCCTTGCTTTCTCCGAGCAGTGCTGCTGAGGCTTTGGACCTAGTTTTGGATGAAGAGGCCATAATCAAGCCTGTCCACTCCAGCATTTTAGGACAAGAGTACTGCTTTGAGGTGCTCTTAGTTGTTTAAAAGACTCATTCGTTATTAACCAAATAACCAATATAAATAAGTCTGTTTAAATGTTTAGAGCATTTAAAGACATCCGGTACGACTGCAAAGCCACTTATTACGTTGCTCCAAATATTGACAAATGAAGCCTTTTAGTGTTTGAAGAAATTCAGGCTGAAAGAATTAGCTGAGTGATTTAAAAATCAATGGAGAACAATTTTGATTCACATAATCCTCTTAAGTCTTTAGTCTCATATCAAGCCAATACATTCTCTGATTCCAGCTTATAAATGTGAGAATATGCTGTATTGCCTCTGCCTTACATGACGGTAAATTAAGTTTCTTAATGTAATTGCCAAAATTACCAAATCTTTTGAAATTATTATTTACAGCTTTGGACTAAATAGAGATCAACAGATTTATTTCTAGAGAAGGTCAGCTTTTTTTGCAGCCTTATTAAGGTTATTTTTTTAAACTAAGAAACACTCTAACACTTAAGTTTTTCCTCAGGTGACGACTAATTCAGGGACAAAATGTTTTGCCTGCCGCTCGGCTTCAGAGAGAGACAAGTGGATTGAAAATTTGCAACGAGCTATCAAACCTAACAAGGTAGATACTGAGATTTTTGTCACTTTGAATCACAAAGACACAAATTATCAAACACCCTGTGACCTGCCTTTTTCATCACAAGATCCAGGGTGTAAACATTTGGATCCAACAAGGATAAGGACTGTTATAATGCAGTAATAGGACTCCCCGTTTCGTTTTCAGGATAACAGCAGACGGGTCGACAATGTGCTCAAGTTGTGGATCATTGAAGCTCGAGACCTTCCGGCTAAGAAACGCTACTATTGTGAGCTGTGTCTGGACGACATGCTGTACGCACGCACCACCAGCAAACCCCGCACAGACACCGTCTTCTGGGGCGAGCATTTTGAATTTAACAATTTGCCTACCATCCGTAGCCTTCGTTTGCACCTGTACAAGGAAACTGACAAAAAAAGACGCAAGGTAGCTACTACATTCTTTATTGATCTCTTTTTAAAAAAATATCTGATGCTAAAAAATGATTAAGATGACCTTGTTTTCATGTTGATCTAGGAGAAAAGCACATATCTTGGCCTTGTCAGCATTCCCATCTCGAGCATCACGGGCCGGCAGTTTGTGGAGCAGTGGTACCCTGTGATCCAGTCCAGCGTGTTGGCCAAAAGCGGCGGCGTCGGAAGTGGAAAAGTCATCAACGCCTCTCTGCGCGTCAAGTCTCGCTACCAGACAATGAACATCCTCCCGATGGAGCTGTATAAGGAGTTTGCGGAGTACATCACCAACAACTACCGGACATTGTGTGCAGTCCTGGAGCCTCTGCTGAGTGTGAAGAGCAAAGAGGAGGTGGCGTTTGCTCTGGTGCACATCCTGCAGAGCACAGGGAAGACAAAGGTAAACAAGGGGTCAGATGTTACTCGACTGCGAGCCGTGTTCCAGTAAATCATCCCTGCCTCAGTCTCTCAGCTCTCTGTATGATGAACAAGTGTAATCTCTTTTAGGAATTCCTGTCCGACATGGCGATGTGCGAAGTGGATCGATTCATGGACCGCGAGCACTTGATCTTTCGTGAGAACACGCTGGCCACAAAGGCCGTGGAAGAGTACCTCAAACTGATAGGTCACAGATACCTCAAAGATGCTATAGGTGAGGCGTCATTGTTTGTGTGTTATCTCCACACATAACACACAGGAGTAGCACTTTCCTGCAGGAAAGTGCTACTCAAAGCTCAAAACAAATACGAGTGTTCTAGAGCAGGCTACGTTTCAGTGTTGTTTAATGTTCAAATAGTGTGATCCACGTTTTGAAATATATTTCTGACGTCCTCTAAAAGTATTCCTCTTCAGTGTGGGACCAGTCATTTTTGAGATATTTGTTTTAAAATGTCACTGCATCAAGCAGGTGTATTTTTTTTTTTTTTTTAAATGAACAATTACCGTAAGTAAGCTAAACTAAATCTAAAACTAAACTATTTCATTTTTCAGGTTTTATCTCATTTATAACAGATGACATTTTAAATGTATATTTTTGAGCTTTAATATAGATTTGATTCAATGGGAAACAAATTGGCATTCACATTTTAAGTTTCTTTTCTGTAATAATCATCTCACTCCACCGCCTCATATGGGCATTATTTAAATGTATAATAATTCATATGACAGTGGGCAGGAGAAACACAACTGTATTGTCTAGATCCATGTGAACAGCAGAATTGTTTTTGAAAAACATGATGACGGAGTGTGACTTCAAACTGGCAGGCGACTTCGTCCGAGCCTTATATGAGTCTGAGGAAAACTGTGAGGTGGATCCCATGCGAGTCCCGCCTTCAGTCCTCGCCGACCATCAAGCCAACCTGCGCATGTGTTGTGAGCTGTTACTCTGCAAGATAATCAACTCTCTCTGGTCAGTTTTTTTACCATCAATACCTCTCAGAGAACTGTGTGCATTTGTCTGTTATTCATCTGTATTGATCAGGACCATTACTTTCTGGTGTCCTTTTTTGTCGTGAGTGACTTTAATACAGTAGAGTGAAGACTTTGAGACTCTCCTTTTCCTGTTCCCTTTTTTCCTGAAGGTAGAATGGTTGATCCAAGGTTTCAGTGTTAATTAAACTGTATTACTGATGATCCCAAGCCTAAAGAGTTAAAAGATATAACATAGAAAAAGAACCAGAGGAACAATATTCTTTATTCTGAAAAGATATACAGTATGTATAATTTAAAGTAAAAAGGGTTAGAGAAAAAAACTTGCACTATATTTTGATTTTTTCATACTTAAAGTTCAAGCTTTCAGTTTTTAAATTTGAGCTTTAAAGGCTTTATATGTGATTTTTTGATCCAGCAGATGTCGCCCTTGAGCTCCAGCATGAAACCAAAACAACTTGCGCTGCATTGTTGTGTTAGCATGCTAATGCTAGCGATCTTTATTATGCTGGTATCTTCACACTGCATGTAAATTTACCTGAAATGAGCGTGATCTAGAAACACAGTTAAGCTGTGAGTACAGTATGTTATTCTTCTTTTCTCTAGTCCCTCAATTAAACAATGTTTATTCGTGAGGGGAGGAGTCAGCCGCCATCCGGGCGATGTAAACAAACTGAAGATAGGACTCAGAAAACTCTGAAAGCATCACAGACAGTGGGACTCGGGTGTTACACCCATTGTAGACAGTCATGACTCACAGAGTTATTTTCAGAGGATAGACTTGATTTCTATTACATTTAAGTTTGAAAAATTGCATATAAAGCCTTTAAATAACATTTTTACTTTCCAGTTGACACCCATACCTGACTCCATTATGAACATGATATTTGAAGCTTTCTTTGTGCAAATGATTGAAATAGTCAAATGTATGGATATCATGAAAGATGGTTTAATAAATAGAGTCACAGTCCCAATCCATGCTGAGCAGAGGATAGAAGCTTGCTTGAATTCATGACTGGCTTTAGTTAAGCCACTGTGTTCTTCTCTTGCCGCTCCCCTCTGCAGTGTGTAACACCATCTTTTTTTGTTTCAGCATATTTCCCCGCGAGCTGAAGGAAGTGTTCGCCTCGTGGAGAGCCAGATGTGCTGAGCGTGGCAGAGAGGATCTGGCAGACAGCCTCATCAGCTCCTCCCTGTTTCTGCGCTTCATGTGCCCGGCCATCATGTCCCCGTCCCTGTTCAATCTGATGCAGGAGTACCCCGCTGAACGCACGTCCCGCACACTCACACTCATCGCCAAGGTGATGCAAAACCTGGCCAGCTTCAGCAAGTGAGTCTCTGCCATAGCATGCTCTTTCACACCAGTGACAAGGTCAAATTAATTTAAGAATTAACGGTCATTTTAATTTCAGATTTATCGACACTGATGCTTGTGTTACGTAGGAAAACTATCACAGTCACATCACAAATGTATAGGATGTATAAACTGTTACTGACCTACAGTGAGCTCAAGGCTTTCAGCTATGACACATTTGTTCCTTCACTTTTTTTATGAATTTAAAAACAATTTTACCATTTTATATTAAAACATTTTTTTAATCAAGGTTTTCAGAACTGAGCTTGCTTTGTTTTCTAACATCAAATACATAAAACAAGATCAGATCAACATAACAACATTAACAGGTGTGAAAAGGAAGTTGATGGAAAATTAGAGAAAAAACTGCCATCAGAAGTCATTTCAAAATCATGATTGACAGTTTCCATAAGTGGATTGAAGTTCACATATAGAGTCATTTAAACCAAGACAGAGCCAGGTTGAGGGAGGCCCAAGAGGGAGGCATGAGAGCCAAGATTTGCATTGGTCAAAACACAGTGCACTTCAATACAGTGCAATACAAAGCACCCAGTACAGTAAGTTCCTTTGCATCGCTTTAACCATCAAAGGTCCTTGGATGTTGTAAAACTTGCGGGGCGCCAGATAGCGGTTATGTCGTATGCACCATGCACAGAGGATTAAGTCCACATCGCAGAAGCCTTAGGTCGAATCTGACCTCGACTCTTTGCCCCACTCTCTTCTCCCAACATTTTCTGTTTCTATTCAGCTGTCCTATAAAATAAAGGAAAAAATACCCCCAGAAATGTTTTAAAAAAAATTCCTTCAATGTACAGGTAGAAAACTGTGTCTTTTAACCATTTAAAACAGGGAAAGAAAGCTGTCTTTTAATTTGACCATAACAAGATGTAGATGCTAAATCCAGCAGGTACACTGAACGGGAAACCACATACCAAGCAAAGGTTGTGATACTGTGAAAGTAACTCAGACTGTTTAAAAAGACAAACATCAACAACACATGCTCATGACAAACCTGAACAGTTTAAATGATTTAAACCTGGAAATGAATGAGCATGTTTTTCTATCTTACATGTTCAGTCACATGTCTATGTTATAAAAAATATATGACTCAAAATGGGCATGTAATCCTTTCTACAACCAAACTAAATGCTTGCAGCGCTGTAAGAGTTGGGGAAACTGTTAATGCGCCTTTTTCATCATGACAACATTAAATTCTTTACCCTTTAAGCATTACACACTTCCACTCTGCACTCTACAGTACATTTCCATCTTCTTCTCTGCTTTCATGTTCCTGTCATTTCTGCCTCTGCAGATTTGGACCGAAGGAGGAGTACATGTATTTCATGAATGAGTTCCTGGAGATGGAGTGGGGCTCCATGCAGCAGTTCCTCTATGAGATTTCCAACATGGACACCGGAGGAAACGCCGGAGGGTTTGAGGGCTACATCGACCTCGGCCGGGAGCTGTCGATGCTGCACAGCTTACTGTGGGAGGTCATGGGCCAGCTTAGCAAGGTAGGTGGGGGAAAAAAAAACACATTAGTAATACAATATGATTCTTCTAAGTTAAGAGTGCAGAGTCGGAGAATGGCTTTCTTTTCTATCAGTCAGGCTCAGGATTAATATTATTTGAACTCCATTAAAACTTTGTTGGAATTAATACTTAAATATTTAACTCTAGTGCTTGCACAGTGAATTCATTAGAACTGTGCTGTAGTAGTATTATAATGAAAGTGATACATATTTTATGTTGAGCTAAAAGATGTGTTACACCATGTGCTGTTAAATTGCTAATTTTATTAGAGACCTTTTCTATGTTGTCTGAATGAATTTGGGGATTATACTGTATAAAGCTTGAGGCTTTCAACGCCCTGGGGCACAGAGTGTTTACTGCTGAACCCTTAGCACTTAACACTGGGATTTAGTGGGGGAAAAAATGCACATTAATGGTTTGTTTGGAGATACAAATTCTGTAAGCTAAGATTAAAGTTTATGATATAATTGAATAAAAATGGTAATCAGAATCAGAAGAGAGAGACAATAGATTATCTGGCAACACTCAGTGCCACATCTTCCTATCCGCAAATGAAATTTAAATTAATAACATGTAGCAAATGTTTTCCCATGCAACTTTTTTAAACAACCTACAGATAAAAAAGTTCAGAAAATGGTTTGCTCACCAGGACTGCTGTGATCAAACCTTTCTTCAAATCCTTGTAAAGCAGTAATGATCAGCTGTACCTTCAACTGTTTTTTCCGCTCAGGACTTTATGAATGAAGCAGAAAGGTGAAACCTATTAGAAAAAAATGGGGGGGGGGTTGGGGGTGAAATTGGCGTCATCTGGCAGACATCCAGTCTTCGTAATAAGGTCGGCTGTGATACCTATCCATCAGTTTGGATCAGATCATTATTATCATAATAATGATAATATAAGATGGCATTTATGATCATAGGCCATCACAGGCTATTTGTTCAGTAATTACCTTGAACTTGGCAGAGTCACATTGTCTGTGATTCATCATTCACTATGCCCCCCGCCCCCCCCCCCCCCCCCCTTTCAAGTCTGGAACAACAGAATTATGACTTTGAACTAAAGTAGGTCATCAGTACAGGAGATGATCACTTTCATCTTTTATTTTACCCTCCTTTTTGATTGATGTCCTATCTCAAGTTGTACACGGCCTCATTCATCGACATCTTCTTCATAGTTTTCTTAAATTCGTTCCTAAAAAATAAAACCTACGTCTGATTCATGACGTGTTCTGAAACAGTGGAATTGTTTGCACTTGTGGTCTTAAATGCCATGTTTGCCCTAACTAGATGCTGCTCTTGTTTTTCCTAATTAGCATCAGAGAAACACCCCTTTATGCCCATATAAGGGCATGAGCCTGCAGGGCACACACCAGTCGCACAGAATTTGCACCGGATCGAAGAGAGAAGTAGAGAGACGACGGGAATGCCTGAATTAAAAGATTCAGGTTAAAAATACTGAAGTGGTTTTAAAGTGGATGAAGTGCCGCTCCAAACGAAACCCAAACGAAATCCAAACAGGCTGATTAAAGTTCATGATATTTAGTGGTGACAGTAGTGGATACATAATATGCACTTTAAAAAGATACATCAGATTATATCACTAATTCAGACAGTGCTGTCATCAGAAAACAATGCTCATCACGCTGCCATCATAAAGAATCTTCACCAGATGAAGTGAAAAAACAAGCTAAAAATAACTGGATACATAAACCATATTTTTCAAAATCAATACGATTTGACAGAAGCTGCCAAAAATTCTAAAAGCTGAAGCTTTAAAATTATGGATCATGTCACAGATTTCTTATTTAAATACCCGTATGTAGGTAAAAGGTTATTTTTTATTGATGGGAATCACTATTTTTTAAAAACATTCTTACCATCCATCCAACCATCATCTTTTACCAATGAAGGGAGAAATGTTACATGTGGTGATAATTCCCATTAAATGTTAATTTGGAGAAGCTTCTGCTGTGCAGACTTAGTCGTTCTCTGTCTTTGGATATGTTTTTTGTCCAGCACCCAGTACTCAACTTTTTCTGGATGTGCGTGCTGTTTGATATTTTTGTAAGAACATGCAAACTCCTCACATAAAAGGCTCCTGTCGGAAAGGGGATTTGAACCAGGAACCTCCTCACTGAGAGGAAACAGCGCTTACCACTGCTAAAATTCTTACCTAAGTACTGAATTTCTTTTCATAATTTAATATAAAAGTGAACCATGTTTTTAATCATGTATCATAATGTTTTTAACAATATAAAAGTGCCAATTTAGAAAAAAACTATAATATATGGTATTCATATCGGCACTCAAATGTGCCTAAGAGTGCTCTGGGGTGTTCTTAGATTTTGTTCTTAGCTGAGAACAAATCCCAGATAAGAAAACGTTGGTGAATGTCAGAATCTTCTAATGAAAGTGTGTGAGTGGGTTTCCAGACCAGATTTCTTCTTAAGAATTATTGGTGAACGAGGCCCACTGGTATTAAAATGTCAGCTGGTTCTAAAAAGGTTGGGAAAGGAAACTTACGATTCCCTTATATTTTGAAACCCTTTCCTCGTTGTAGGATGCTATACTGAAACTTGGACCCCTACCGCGGCTGCTGAATGACATCAGCGTCGCCCTGAGGAACCCGCAGCTGCACATGCCTACAAATCACCAGCCTGAGCGACCAAAGGACCGACTCTTCTCACGGCCATCTTTCAATCGTCTCATGTCCTCCGACTTCCAAAGCCTTATGATGCGGGACTTGAATAGGTATGTTCCCAATACTTTACTTTGTATTTTGTTGTCACTTCTCCACTAAGCATTTCAACGACAGCTTCACTTTACTTTTGAGGATACGAAGAGGATTATTTTTGAAGACTTTCACTAAAGGTGTAATCAGTGATGACACATTAACATCTTACACTAAGTGAGAATTCCGGAGCCGAAAACAAAGCCCTCGTGTATTTCTAAGAGCCCTTAATGCTAACGCTAATGCACCTCTTCAGGCTTTTTAAGTATTTTATCAATCAGTAATTGCTAGCACCATCTGTTCCCAGACTCCCTTACCAAAACCCCTTTGCTCTGTGCTTTAATACATTTCCAGTCTCTGCTATTGTCAAGAGACAAGACATGCTCTCATTACAGCCTAATAGTCTAAATAAGAACTCTTTAAGGAAGGCAAAAACAGAGGAGGTATTATCAGAGGACTCTGCTGCTGCTATTTATGTTTCATGCTCGAAGTCCCTCCTACCAAACACCAGCCTGTTTGTTACCAAATCTGCATTATTAAATGTGTTTATGAAAGACAAAGACTTAAAAAGTGGTAAACATCAAATGTCTGTAAATTCTTATGAGAATGGTCAGTGATTCAATCCTTTAACACAGCTGTCTATCCTCGTGGCTCAAAGCCCAGAGGTATCAGGCTAAGAGTGACTGACAGGATGGAGACGGGCCCTTCTCTAGCTGGGTTTTTCCTTTTGTTTCATAATGCAACAATTACATAATAAAGCCTTTGTAGTCCTTGGAAATATACTGAAGACAGGTGGAAAAGGATCAAAAACTCGGTGGATGAGAGTAAAAATGACTGACAGTGTGCAGGATTCTGTGGTATTCTTACGAGCTTCATTATGAAGAGAAAACTGCAAATAGCTAAAATAATGTAGAATCAATGGTAGGGGTCCTAAAATAATACGAATAATAGATATAAAAAGAGGTTGTTCTCTAATCTTTGTTGAATTCTGCTCCATCATTTCTGGCCTCTCTTTAAATCCATCTTTTGATTGAACTGCTCTCCACTGGGTGCGTGAATGCAGTTCCACATGATATGTGTTCCGCATGATGCACCTTATCACCTCCACCTGCAAAGACATTTTTTTTTTCATCAAACCCAGCAGCTCATCAATCATTCAGAATGCAGTCATGGTTTGAAAGACATATCAGTTTTTCCAGACTGCATCGCTGCTCGCTCCCATCAAAAAAAAAAAAAAATCGTAACTTTCCACTCCTCATCCTTTATTTCATCTCTTATCATCCTGTAAGATAAATTTGTCAAGAAATGCTGTACTGCCCTTCCAGACTTTTTAATGGACAACACAGTAAACAGTATTCTCTTATTATTGCCATATTCTATAGGTCTACATTACATGCTCAAAGCCAACACATCACCTTTTACTTGTTGCAGCATACTGAGGTGTGCTTAGACTGAAAGCATGGCAAATTTCTCTAATGGCGTCTTTGCATTCATTCTGATATTGCAGTTTAAAGTCCATCCACACTGTACCTGGTGTCTCTTTGGTCAGGGTCCTTAGAAGCATCTTATCTCTTTTTCTCTCCCCTCCTTTTCTGATAAATCGCCACTATTCACTGTTCTTATAAAGATATAAAAATACATTTGTGTTACACTCCATATTGCCCATACACATTGTAAAATATAGTCAAGTACATTATATCTATGAGTCATTGTTGAAGTTTGTAACGTGTCTTCCTGTTGTGTATTCTGCAGCTCAATAGACATATCACGCCTGCCGTCCCCAACCACTGGAGTCTCAGCTGTAGAATCTCTCTCGTCCAACCTGAACATGAGGCGTCAAGCGGAACGGGACCTCCGCTCATCGAGGGAAGTGTTCTATGTGACCCGCCCACCGCTGGCTCGATCCAGCCCCGCCTACTGCACGAGCAGCTCCGACATCACTGAGCCTGATCCAAAGGTATTGAAGTAAAGACGTCATGTAAAAGTTTGATTTAAATTCTGTTTCTGTTCCCTGGTTTATGTCTGGATATTAAAAAAAACAAAGATTTGAACACTAAACCATGGAAGATAAGCTTAATGGAATAACCTAATTACAAATCCTAAATAAAACACTGGTTTGGAATTACTTTATGAATGCATTTGGCGGCCTAAATCATTTTAATTCAACTTGTAAAAAATGCACAGAGATTTAGAGAAGAGTCATGTGTGTTCTCTTAGTCATGATCTATGTCCTTAAAGAAGTAACTTTGTTAATCTTGTCTCTCTCAGGTCCACAGCGTGAATAAAAGTGTGTCCATGATGGACCTTCAGGACTCCCGCATGAACAGCATTTCCAACCTGAACTCTGTGGGAGACATGCTCACTTCCTCTCAGGCTTCCATCGCCGGCCTGGGCCACAGCTTTGGGAACCTCTGCGGCCCTCTGCGTATGGGGGGGCACATGCCAGCGGGCTCGGCTGGCTCCGGCTTGAGGCTGAGCCAGATGGGCCACATAGGGGGTCCCACAGAATCCATCTCCCAACAGCAGCAGCAGGCGGCAGCGGCCATGAACTTCCCGCTGTCTTTCCAAAACCCGCTGTTCCATCTGGCCGCCCAGAACTCCCCGGCTCAGTCTCAGCCTCACCCTCCTCCCCTGCTCCTCGCCCCTGAGCCCGAGAACGGCCACCATGACTACCAGCCGGCCTTTGGCAACAACGCCTTCTCCCGCAGTGAGGACCTGTCGGGCCTGCGGTCGCAGAGCAGTCTGGTGCAGCCCAGCATTGTTCACTCACACAGCTACAGCGATGACTTCACCCGGCAGAATCAGAACAACGACTTTGCATGGCACCAGCTGTCTCTGCAGGTGCAGGTAGGAAGCTCTCACTCATCTGCACATTTGAAATGTTACAGAGACGGATTACTGTTACCAAAATAACTTTTCTGTGCTTAAAAGATTTAAATTATAATAATATATATATAAATATAATTTAAAAAAAATAGATTTCTATCTAAATACTCAAAGACGCTTTGACAGGAAAGATGCTTTGACAGGAAACAAATAAAATAAAATAAAATAAAATAAAATAAAATAAAATAAAATAAAATAAAATAAAATAAATATATTCTCATATTAACAATACTTGCAGTTGATAACGAGATCTGTGCTGCAAACCTTTTCCTTACCATTTTATCTGCACAGGTGACTCTCGCGCTTGAGCTGTTCAGAATCTGTTATTTTATGTGTAGATGCCCTTCCTATCTTCTTTGGGAATCTGCAGTATAATGTCAGAGGTGAAACACTCATCACAGATTTTAGACATGAATTTGTAACACCAAACCATCTCTATGCTGAAGACTATTTGTAGAACATGAGCAGCTGAACAGGACTTTTCTATCCATTAGTACTACATATAACTGGGTGTGCCTAATAAATGTGGAACTAAGTTTATATCTTAAGCTTTTTTACTGATTGCTAGTATCCTCGGCCTATAGGGAATCTGGAAATATCAATTTTGTAATTAAGATAGTTTTTGGTTTGAATGCCATGCCCGTCTAGATTCTCCCTCTCTGAGGTTTAATACTTTTTTAAAAGCCTTAACAGAGCTGTGAATAAATAAATCACAGTCCCTGCAATAAACTTTTCCCAACTGGCCGAGATCAAATTAACGTTCAGCGACTTTTATTTTTTTGCCCCCCAGAAGCTATCTTCTCAGGGTGGTAATACTTTCCAACAGCACAGAAACTGGCTTGGTTTGGCCGAAAGGGGCTGAACATATCTGATTGGTAGAGTGCTGCCTGCATTTTTTTCACCTGGTTGCTATGGTTTTTCTATAGTGATGCAAAATTATAAAACTTTGTAGTTTTTTCATTGCCTCAGTGGATTCATCTGCAAAATCTTAGCAGGTCTTTGCACCCCAATAAAAGCAGATGACATGAGGCTGAATGAACCATTTAGTACTTAAATACAAGTAAATCCTGCGTCTTTAAATGTTTTGTTGTAATTATGACCTAGGATTTGGTTTAGGACAGACTAATGTGACAACTTATATTTAAACTGCTAAAAGTGGCTGATGAGGTTGAAAATAAATACTGTATTTGATGTAAGTGTAGTATTCAAAACATAAGAGAAGCATAGATACAGAAAAAAAAATCTGGATCTTACATTGACCAAGAAAAATGTCTTTATGGAACGGCTCAAACTTGGTGTTAAACTCAAATCCATTTCTAGAAACTGAAAGTATGCCTCTAAACTCCTTTGGACTTATTCAATGTCACACGTACAAGTAGATCTCCTCGCTCTTCTTCTTCACTTTTATTTTAGTTATCAGTCAAATGTCATAAAAACACAGTTTGATCACTACAAGAGAGAGAATGACGAGGGAAGTCACAGCCAGCTTCTCATTTGTTCAGTGTTCTTTAAAGATCTGGGTTCAAACTGACTCGCACATTTGAGAGTCCTGTCAGTTATTCTTAGTGTGATTTTTCACACCACAGCTGAACATCCAAAAACTGTCTCTGCCTCAATCACTGAATTCAGATCCACTCGTTACCTGCTGGCACTTCAGGTTTTTTTCAGGATTAAGACTGGTTGTCAGGTTACAAAATGGTTCTCTTTTTAATCAGGGGAAGTTGAAAATGGAAGGGATACTTGGTTTGCACACTGAAGCAGGATTATTGACTGGACTGTGTCAGGTTTTTGACATCAATCATGCTGCGTGTCCTTATTTGAACAAAGCTGAAAATCTGATCTCAGAACTCCTCGACAAAGACGTTTTCTGAAAGACTGCGTAATCACGACCTGCTTTGAAGCACATTTTAATGAGATAACTTTAAAATGTAGATTTTAGACTTTAATTAAACTGTCACTTGCTTGATGAAGTCTCATCAGTAGGATTCTTGTAGTTCTTAGAACACGTTTTAATGAGACAATGGCCTGGCTTTGACCTGATGGAGTACTCAGAGGCTGCAGAACTTTACTACAGCATGTCCTTGAAAAAGTAACGCGTTTAATTAAACAGTCATGTATTCTGGAGCTATTTCTGTCCGGCTGCGTGGGCTTCAATGGAACAAACATCACAAGTCTGCTGATTATTAATGCAGATGGATTCTATCCATCTATCCATCCACAGTATCTATCTATCTATCTATCTATCTATTTATCTATCTATCTATTTATTTACAGATTGTCTTGCTTGTCCCTTCATCCTCCCCTCTTATCCATTTGCAGATTCTTTCAAATTGAATTCTTAATTTTTTTTTAAATTAAAATTTTCAGAAATGTCACCACTATGGAGCGTTTAATTGTTTGTATTAAATGTATGTATTTTTTAAATTCTGCACTAGACTTTGTCTTTCCTTTTTATGAATTAAATTTACTCGACAGTTTCCATTTTCTCTGCCACTTCACCACTTCCCTTTCTCTCCTCTCAGGAGTCCCTCCAGCAGCAGCATATGATGGGAGTTGCTGCGCAGACAGCCACCGGCACGGGTACCCCCGCCTCTTTGGCCACACCGCCCACTACAGTTCATCCTGTCCGCCAACAACACCTCAAGTCACAGCGCTCCATCAACACTCCAGCCACTGCCACTCCTCCGAAGGTTCGCCCGCAGAGCAGGAACCTCCTCCTCGACTCCTCTGACACCAACTTCAGTGGCAGTCAGCCTAAGCAGCGCACCACTCAGCAGCCTTCGCAACAGCAACAACAGCAGCAGCAGCTGCAACAGCAGCTTCAACAGCAGCTGCAGCAGCAGCAGCAGCAGCTGCAGCAGCAACAACAGCAACAGCAGCAGCAGCAACAGCAACAACAGGACGCACAGCTATCTGTCACTGACAGTCCAGCTCCCGGGCTCCCGTACCAGACGAGCTCAGCCAAAGAGAACCAGGGTCCATCAGCGGCTGCAGAGGTGTCGACAGACACACCAACCAAAAGTACCAAGAAGTCTCAGGCACAGCTGCAGCCGCCGCAGCAGCATTTGCTCAAACCAGGCAATAAACAGGTCAATGTAGATACCACGCTTTTCCCGAAACTGTATAAAAATGTTTTATTTGAACTCTTAACATGAAGGAATACATTTCAAGCTTGACTTATCCATGTGTTTTTTTTTTCAGGGTTCCCAGTCAACATTGAACACATCAGCCCTCAATGAGCGGACAGTGGCCTGGGTGTCCAACATGCCACATCTCTCTGCTGACATTGAGAGCCTGCGGCCGGACCGAGAGGGCCAGCTGAAGGAGTATTCAAAGAGCATGGATGAGTCTAGACTGGAGAGGGTCAGCACATTTTATTTCTTACTACCCACCATGTAGATTCTTCCTGTGAATATATACATCACATATAATGGTATGAAAATACTATTCTGTTCTTCTTTTAAGAGTTTAGCATGGTGATAGCTGTGACTCTGAAGTGGTAACAGTTTGATTCCATATAAATCACAGGACAATGTACCTGTGACATGAATGTAAAGTTTATGAACACAAAACCAGAGTATTGATTCAGTTTATTTTCTGACAACACATTTTAGGATAAGGATCTCTCAGCTTATGTCAGCAACAGAAAGAATAGAAGACATAGAAAGCCTTTATTGTTCTTAAACAATTGCACAATGAAATTAGAAATGCTCCAAGTTAGAGTGCACAACAAACAGGCATACACAGCTACAAACAACAAGAATTCACCTGAGAGAAGAGAGACACAAACACCCACTATCTCAGAGCAGCTTAAGTTAGCACATGTTAGTGTAGCCTGCAACAAAAGAACTCATGTCTCATGTCAGACAATGACAGTTTATCTGCAAAGCTTCATCACATATTAAAACCACAAATCTTAAAATCCAACGTTTCCTTCATATTTTTCATGCTGAAGCATTTTAAGCTTGCAAAGCCATATCAACTTGTCATGTGAAAACACATCACGTGGGGGGAACTACAGCCGCAGATTAGCCATATGCACATTTGCACGGATGCAGTTAAAGGTCGGTGTTGATTAGTCTGCATGATGCCACATAAATAAATAACAGGAACAGATATGATCAAGTGAAACATGGCTGCAATTATGACATAAGGGAAGAACACACATACTGGCTCTGATTGCAGGAAACACATTTATTAATCATAAACATACGCTGAAGCTATAAGCTGCTGACTCATCCATGCACAAATTCAGATGTCTATGTGTTTATTAACTGCTGATATGGTACATGTAAAGCTAGGTTAAGCAGACGAACGCACATGAGAACAATCACCGTTCTTCACTGTGTCAGCCTCCTCTCTTCTGTGGTGCTTTTGCTATCATGTACAACTCCTACACTCCTGTCTATATTAGAAACACACGTCTTGGTGCAGAGCATGGAAATCGTTGATTGCACACATTGAAGCCTACCACACTTCCTCTGCACAATTATTTCACTTGCTGCTTGGCACAAAAAGAGCTGCACAGCAGAGCATTGTCTGTATCACTTAAAATCCCTCATCACTCCAGAAACATTTGTCTGAACTTCAGCGTGACAGCACAGGTGACGTGACTTTGTTTTTTTTATTGCAGGTAAAAGAGTACGAAGATGAGATCCATTCGTTGAAGGAGCGGCTGAAGATGTCTCATCGTAAGCTTGAAGAGTACGAGCACAGGCTTGTGTCACAGGAACAGCAGACGAGCAAGATCCTGCTGCAGTATCAGAACCGGCTGGAAGACAGCGAGCGGCGCCTGAAGCAGCAGCAAGTGGAGAAGGACTCCCAAATCAAAGGCATCATCAACAGGTGATTAGTTTCGGCTCCAACCGGAGCTGTCAGAAATGAGGCCGTGCACAATCACTGCTTTTTCTACTTCATCAAACCTTTCACACAAAAGTTGCTACTAACCTAGTTTAAAATAATAATCAGTTTTATCTATTCTATTAGAAATCCACAATATTATTCAAATGTATGCTCTACACACAGCTGGGTTAGGCATTTCATATTCACTACATGAAAACAATCTGCAGCTTGTAAAGTAGAGTAAAGTAGTGTTCGCTGCAGTGAAAGCAAATGTTTGACTTCTACAAAAAGTGATGCAACATTACGGCAGGAAAATTCAGACGCAGTAATTGAATGAGGTGTTTTAGTTATTTTCTAGAAATCTTGAAATCAGTCTTTTGTCTAACTGCTCGGACACAGCTGTCCCTCTTGTCTTTAGGAAATTCACTTTTAGACTAAAAAAAAAATTGTTTACAAAATAAAAGTCTGTAAAATACAGAAAACAACTCGCATGATGTCATATGTATCCATTCTTTAAAGAAATAGGGAGATGTTTGTGGTTATATGCTTATTTGCTGTCTCCCTAAGAGTTGAGTAAGTGATAATTCCATCCTCATATTCAGTATATGCTGTGGAATAGAAAATTAGCATAGCTTAGCATAAGATATGGAAGCAAAGTATAAACAGGTTGCCTGGCTGCTACCATTTTAAAATGATTAAACCCCCTCTGGAACCACTGATTGGACATTTCTGTTTATGTCTGACTGAAGCAAGCAGGATGTGTATTCTGATTACTGAGCTTTATGGGTGCTGATGCTGTTTATGCTAACATGAGCAAAAAAA